TTCATTGGCAATTCATCGGCTAATCATCAGCCTCCGTATCTCAAATGCTGGGAGGCGGTTTTCTGGCAGGCTAGTTCGCCATCGTATTATTAGAGCCCTGGCCAGCCTTCTCAACACAACATGTCCAGCCAACACATCTGGGATCGAGTTCAAGAGCACGCCCTCTCCCCAAACGGATCCCCCGCTGCCTTGCCGCAGCTCTATCGATTGTACCTACGCCAGCCGGTCCAGAATCCTATTAGCGGTCGAGACTTTCATGTTGGGAACGTAGTCTTTGTTTTACGGGCTTTTTGCCATCATACCACCAGCGCTAAGAACAATTCCTTGCCGACTTCCGTTCGCAAAGGCGCTCGTGTTTCTGGAACCGCCTCGTACCCCACGAACGGGTGTTCTAAAAGTAGACTTTATCTTGCATTGTGTTTACATCTTGATAGAACCACGCGCATACCTTAAGATACAACCAAGAAAAAACCTCCTTTGTATACACATTCGTCACTGCGGAGTGCAGCCCGGATCATTACTAATAATAAGAAAACAACGAGAAGTCATCCACTTCCCTATACAGAAACATAGTCCCAACATGATATCGCATCCTCCTCTTTTCACACCGCCACATGGTCATTACATCCTCTATTTGTCCTTCTTCAATCCAAAGTATAGTCCAAGTGCCAGCGCGATCACGGCCAGAATCAGGATGACGGTCAAGAGGATCCACCACTTGAGCCTGCGCGCGCGCCTGGCCGACTTGATGCCTTCGTCCAGCTGCTTGTTTGCATTCTCGGTATCGTCCTTGACTTGTACGGTTTGCTCCTCGGTCCGCTGAATGATGGGTTCTTGGTAGACGACCTGCTCATTGAGCTGGGTGAAGAGGAGGGCAAGCTCGCCCATGGTCTTCTCAATGCGCTGGATGTCATTGTGGCGGGCGCGGACGGCGCCAAGGACGCTCGAGGCTTGGCCGCTGCGGTTCGACTTGAGCTGCGGGTTGTTAGTGACGTAGGTCTCGTTTCGTGCGGTTTGTGTCAGCTTACAGCTTGTGTGAAGATGCCCTCGTCACCCAGATCCGAGTTGGCAATCTCGTTGACCTCGGCATCCGTCGCATCCGGGTTGATGATACGGTACTGGCGCCCGACAGCCTCGCGATACCTCTTGGAGTAGTCTGCCTCCTCCCTCTGGAAGTCCTCGAGCTGTGTCTTGAAGGTCCTCTTCAGCGCCTCCACCTGCGTCCTCTTGGTCCGGTCGTTGGGGTCGCGCACGGCATCCCTCTCGAGGAACTTGATCTCGTCCTTGATTTGGGTGTTCCGGATCTGCGTGGCGGTTACGATGCTCTCGAGCTCGGCGGTGGAGCGGTTGTCGGGCGACGATAGCATGCGCTGGTGGACGCTTGCAATGGCTTGGATGTCGGAAGTGAGCTGGCCGATGCGCGACTTTGCGCCTTCGATGCGCGCGAAGAAGTCCTCACGGCTGAGAGGCTGTGGTCCTGGCGCCTCCATGCCGGGGTTTCCAGTCGGCTCGCCGTACGCAGGCATGTTGTTCATCGGCACGTCGGTATGCGGTACGTTGGGTGGTTGCTGGTTTGCGCCGGGTTGCGAATATTGCGATGGCTGCGAGTAGTTGGAGTCGCCATGACGTTGGAGGGGCGCCGGCGGGCTGAGCTGCTGGGCCTGGCCGTCATACTGTTTCGTCGCGTCAGTCTTTGAGTTCAGGCGGCGCGGTCGCGACTGCTTACTCCTCCGTCATAGGGGTTGGCTGAGCCGTAGCTGGTGCCGCCATATGGGTTTGATTGCGCGCCGTATCCAGCCTCGGCCTGGCCATACGGGTTGCCGCCGTATTGCTGATAGTTTTGCGACATGTTGGTGTTGGCTGGGATGGATTGACAGCGTTGGAGCGATGGTTTCGGAATGCCGCAGTGGAGCTTGAGATGAGCCGCGGAAGCTACGGAATCTTGCGCTGACCGACGGACGTGAGCGCGCGGCGATTAGTCCAGCAATTCTTCCGCGCAACAAGACTAGTCTTGGTAAAATGAACAGCGGATGCTGGGTCGCGGGGACTGGCAGTGCTCAAAATCGATTAATTGAACCTTGCCGTGGCCTTGTTTTGATGTGGGCTGCGAGGGAAATTAAATGAAGGGACCCTGTTGAATCAGCGAGCTCTGAGCCGCGAAGACGCACGTCACCAATCGCACAAGAACGGGCAAGGCACGCCCTTAGTCATCGCTAGTGACGATCGCCCGGGCGTAGCGTGCAGTCCCGTGCGAGGCGCAGCATCACAGTCTCCATCATCACGACAAGGCAGCATCGTTTTGGGGAACCTCATTGTACACTCTCGTCTTTTCAATACTGTGTGTTGTTCGCGCGATTGACCTGGAGTAGAAGTACAAGGCCTGCAGCGTACTCAGGTCTGGATCTTGTCGCCCACGGTAATAACCCGAAAGAGGTAGTGTCCGATGCGATATCCATCCCGCCCTGCCGCGATCTTTGACTGGCTACGTTCAGAGACAACCGTGCAACCCGGAGAGCATGACTGCGCCCACAGCTCTACTACAATGTCAGCGCCTACAACATAGGCTGTTATTCTAAGGCACCCACTCGCAAGCACCACCCTTCTTGGCCAATATGGCATCCCGCTCAGTGTAACTCCTGGTGTAGACTGGGAACTATACAAGTTAGAGATGCACTTGTACACGGCGAAGCAGATCAGTGTCAATTCGTGACTAACACGTGTTCTACCACCTTATACAAGGAAAAAGCTGAACACCCTGGAGCCTACGTTGAAGTCAAAGCCCCTACTTTGCATGTTTTCATCTCGATGTAGGCTCTAGGGTGTTCGTTTTTTCCCTTGTATGAAGTGCTACCCAGATAGTCACTCTAACACCACACGGTCGGATGTATACACAGCAGATGATACAAAGTCTGTCGCGGGACCAAGTACAAAAGAAAGGAAACAAGCAGAAAGAGCTATCCCAAGGATTGAGCCAAATTGCTAGGTCGTCAGAAAAGAGTATCAAAGAGCAGATGCATCACCGTCTTCTGATGCTGGATGGACTCAAGTGGCGCTTCCAGATGCAATGATTCTTGTCTGGGAAGAGCTTGTGAACCACGAGCTTCTTTCTCCAGAGTGCATCATAAAGGGAATAGCACTAGATGCAGCCGTGAGATCTAACCCAGTTCGTAATCTTAGCAATGTTCTTCTCGTCTTTGGGTATGCACAAGACTAGAACGACTCAGCTCGCGGCACAATTGAGAAGTTTCCTCAAGACACCATGAGAGGCCTACGTCAACGTTACGCCCCCCAGCATATCAATATTTGACTGATCATCTTGGTGTTGGGGTGAGCGCTGTTCGTCGAAAGCATTCTGCGTCGAGGGCAATGCCAGAGGAGCCGGCTGGTCTTCACCAGGCTGACGATTTCCATCCCGACGACCAGAGGTGCCCGATCCTCCATCGCCGCCTCCTCGTCCTTCTCCTCGCCCTTGCCCTTGTGCTTCCGCAACTCCCAACGAGTTAGGGTTCTCCGTCCGGCTGTAACAAGGTCTGCGCCGTGCGGTCAAGAAAGGCACATCCTCGAACGGCCTATGGCGATTCTGTAAACTCACGATGAAAAAGCCTGCTAGGGTCTCGTAGCCGCTCTGAACTATCTGAGTACGCAAAGGAGCGCGCCAAGTTGTTGGTTGGCCGGGGCAATCAAGCAGGCAGTGGTAGAAATCTCCACACCAGATACATGGGAAATGTTGTCTGTTTGCATAGAGGCGTTGTTGAAGGACGTCCCATGGAGCTGTCAGATTAGTGGATGAGATTTGATTGCGTCGGGCTGACTTACGTTGCGGTCGTGACCTGGCTGCTCTAAAGGGTGAAACATGTTGCCTGTGGGTGTTAGGATGAGTAACCGTTGCTGGAAAAGATGGGTACCCTGGGGCGTTGTTGTGATGGTAATCTCCGCTGGTATCCTGAATACAACTTGGGACATACGAGTATAGGCCTGGCTGGTTCACATTTGCGCTTGGTGTGTATGCCATTGTTGGATAGCTGATGCCACCACCGCTGTTGTCGCAAGTTCCAGAACCATAATGACCGTTTGGAGCGACAGAGTGTCCACCTCTCTGACTAGGAAAACCGCCACTACCGCCACGGAAATTGTTGCCTCGTCGTACAGGGCAATTAGCGCAGTCTTTTCCTGCGTGAGCAGAGTTAGGGCAGCCAACACAAAGTAGCTCACAGCTCTGCTGATAATGCGGGCCAGCGCAGTTGAAACACCAAACCATCGTTGCTGAGATTAGACTGAAGAGGTACCTAGAGAGGGTCAAAGATTGATAGTATGCCACTCACCAAGCAGGAATTAATACCGGGGTCTGTGGAAGTCTTTATATCCTTCTCTTGACATCTTGCAAACTTATATCCGATTTGCTTTACCGTGCTTTCCACCAGCAATCCAGCTTGGCTAAACTGTATCCCTTATCATAGTAGTAATCAAATACAGCTGTGCAGATACGAAAGGCCTTAATAGAAGTAGCAAGCATTGGGCATTGACGGTCATGGTATGCGCCAACCTCCTTGCTGCTTACGTCAAGCAGCTCCGCGGCAAGCAGCATGGTTTTGCGCGTTTGTAGGTTTCGCGCGATGTCTTCCTCGAAGCTGGGTACTCGACAAAAGAGATGTATCGCGTAACAGGCGACATGAGGGTTGATGAGGAGCGTAGTGGAAGTGGGACGGAAGGAGAGATGGAGTGACGCGTCTTGAGGGGACTGGACGCTAGTGACACATTGGGTTAGTGTATTGCCTCATCGAGTGGATATCAAGTATAGAGCAACTTCGATGCAAGTTGCTCTTACAATGTTGATTCCCGATAGCTAATGCCAAACTGTATGCCTAGCTTCTGAAACTATGCTGTGCAGGGAGGAGAACACCACCACATACATATGGCCGACAACTCCCCACGCCCAAGAAACCATAGGTAGCCTCTTTCTCGAACCTCATTCAGCACCAAACCCCTCATCTCTTCCCACCTCAATCATCTCTCTGATTCGGCCAAGGCCTTCTCTCCTTCTTCGCCCCCGCCAACAAATGCGCAAACTCCGGCGCCACAAACCCCCTATTAGCATTCCCCCCACCGCCAACCGGCATCGGCACCGTATACTTACTCACACCCCCATCCCCTCTATAGCTGATATGCTGGCCATACGCATCCACCGTCGGCCTACCCATCGGCCCGTTAAACATGGGTCGGTTATGATTGACCTTCATATCCCTCGCGCGCAGTAAACCAGCTTTCCTCTTCTCAACCTCCTCGTCATCGGCGATCTTCTGCAGACGGGCTTCTTCGGCTTTGCGGGCGTCTTCGGCGTCGCGGTGGATGGGGCCGCCGATGATGCCGTGGCGGGTGAGGGGGTGGGATATGGAGGGGAGGAGGGAGGTGCCTCGGATGTAGGTGTCGGATATGTCGCCGAGGACTTCGAGGCCGGAGGTTGTGCCTGTGTACATGGCTGGTGCTTGGGGGAGGCGACCTAGAGTGATGTCAGTACGTGTCTCATATCGCATTTGGATACGGATGCTACTTGCCCATTGGCATGCCCATTTTCGGTTTTCCGTACCAGAAGGGCTCGATGTTAAGGATTTGGGCGCGCGCTTTTTGGAGGGTTTTGTCGTCGTCGAAGCGTTCTTCCCAGGAGAGGAGGGTGAGGTCGCGGAAGGCGTGGCGGAATGAGCGCATGGCAGTAGCGAAGTCACTGCCGCGGGGGCATAGCTCGCCGTTGTACGGAGCCTCTGGTGTTGGGGCTGGCTTGGTGACGAGGGAGAGTAGACGATTGGCTTCAGGGTGCTGAGTAGTTCCGTCGCTGCTAAGAGGTATTTGTTGCTTCACATCTCCCTTCTCATTCTCTTCTTTCTCCGCTGCCGGCAAGGTCTTAGCAGGCTTGTACTGTACAAGCGCCCAGTACACATGCGGCTTTGTATGACTCGCCAATAGCGCAATGTGGTACTGTAGAGGTAGACGTGCGAGGTCAGTATATGTCTCGCAAGCGTTTTGTACGGTCAGAGCTTACATTTGCAGAGCTAAGGGAAGGATTGTCCTGGCGTACAAGAACGATCTTGTACTCAAAGCCGTCCGTATCTTGATAGTAATGATAATCCTCTTTCCAGTGACGAGAACTCTTAGCCTGTGAAACTTTCTTGAACGTAGCGGGGGCCTTAGATTTCTTGAGAGGTGTCTGGGTTGAAACGACAGGCTTTGAGAATTGATTTGCCGGGCTCGGGGTGTCATTGATGACTTCAGGGTTCTTTGCCTGGCCCTCACAAGCTCCAGACCCAGCATCCTCAGCCAATGCAGCCTCCCTTTCCGCCCTCCTACGCAAGAGGTCTTCTTTTGCGGAAATGAAGGGGATTGAAGGAACTGCTGGGGCAGACGTGGCAAAGAAGAAGCTCTTGCTCTTCCTCGGCTTTCTTGCAATAACAGAAGATGTCTTCGACGTACCTGATCCAGTCAACCCTTCGATGTTCTCACAACCTTTCCTGAACTTACTGCCATCGGCCAGAGTACCTATCCTCTTGAGCTCTTTCTTCTTCCTCCTCTCTTTCATAAGCACTTCCCATGTGTACTTCCTAGTACCCAGCTTCTTCTTCGCTTGTAACGAGTCGTCGAACCAGTCATAGCTGACTACGTGGATGTTGAGGTCGGTAGCTTGTTGTACAGCGTCAGCGGGTTTCTTGTATGCCTCTTTACTGGCGATGAGGTGGGTGACGCTCTTGTTGATCTTCGCCGAGTATTTGCCGCCGTTTCGCTCGATCCAGGCTTTGATCTGTTTAGCATCATGGGGATGGGTACCGACGACGGCAATAGTAAGCTTGTCCAACACCCCCATTGTAGCGGCGCGGTGGTTGGATTGTAGAGTGTAGGAGTGATGGTGTGTAAACTTGCTTGACGACGTAGATGAGGGCTTATGATGTCCAGATTGAGGGTGTAAATTTGGCGAGACCCTCGTTGGTCTTACCTTGTGGTGGTGAGTAGCGGTCGAAGTGATATAGCGTTTGTCCGGACCGTGCAGCTGCCATCAAGAGGTAAGAGACGCCGAAAAAGCGACTCCAGGCCGCTATCTGCAGCGGTACAAGCCGCTATTCTCGGAATATTGAACTGCCTGACTCGTAAGGAAAAGAGGGCCAAAAAGAGTATTAGAAGAATGATCAGAAGGATGATGGCCATTCGTGTTACATTTGATAATTCCGAAGATCACCTTCAGCTTCGGTAGTCGTATTCTGAACCGCCACTACTGGTTCTTTGCCGCCTTGATAAATGCCCGTATCTTATCCAGACTTTGCTGGCCATCTTCCTCCACACCGCTGCTGACGTCTACAGCATGTACGCGGTCCCGGTATTCATCGAGACCAGCGAGCGTAGATTGGACGTTCTCAGGGTTCAATCCTCCCGCTAATATGACCTTGATACCATCGTCTTTCGCGAAGACTGCCTTGACATCTGAAAGATCCAACTGCTGACCCGAGCCGCCGGAGCCTGCATCCAGAAGTGGTAGGGCGTGATACCCTCTTGAGCCAATGCCAAGGGTATGCGGGTTGAAGGCTCTCAAGACAGGCACAGGAACAAGCTTTGCCCACTCTAATGGCTCCTGACCATGAAATTGCACCACGTCTAGATTCAGCAGTCGCTGCTGTTCAAGTACGTACTCTAGTGACTGATTTCGGAACACGCCTACGAGAAGCGCGTGACTATCATTTGACACCAGTCGTGCTGCGCCGTGCTCAAAGAAATCGGTAGCGGACTTTGATTCAGCAAGTAACCCGGTTTTCGAGACCACAGGCTTTCTGGTCTTATGTACGGTTTCCGAGATTTCCAGAGCTGTTTCAGCTGTGACTGTTCGCTTGGTTCCCGGCGCGAGGATCATGCCGATGAGGTCAGCTCCTGCTTCGATTGCGACTTTTGCGGCCTCAGCACTGCGAGTACCACAGATCTTCACCATCGGGCTTGATGCTGTTCCCGTTTTCTTGGTAGATGAGCCACCGAGAAGCTCCGCGATGAACTGAGCGGTGTCGGATGCGCGCATCAGCGCTTCACCCACCAAAACTGCGCCAACTCCACTCTTGATGTATGGTTCGACGTCCTTGGGCCCGGCAATACCGCTTAGCGCACACAAGATTGTCTCTTTTGGAACCATGTTGATTAGACGGTTGGTAGTTTCCATGTCGACCTCGAAGTTTACAAGGTTGCGGTTGTTCACACCAATGACCTGAGCGCCCAGCTTGACCGCAATCTCAGTTTCTTCCGCGTTCTGGACCTCGACGAGAGGCTCCATTCCAAGTGATCGAGAGTAATCGTAGAGTGTCTTCAAGACTGCTTCATCCAGCATCTTGACGATCAGCAACACTGTATCGGCACCCGCGAGCCTAGCTTCCAGGATCTGGTACTCCTCGAAGATGAACTCCTTGCGCAGGACGGCGGGACGGTTCGGCATGCCTTCCAAGCTTTGTCGAACAGCTTTGAGGTCGTCGATGCTACCCTTGAACCATTCCGGCTCAGTAAGTACGGATATCGTGCTTGCACCGGCCTTTGCGTACAGCCTTGCTTGAGCGGGAGCGCATGCGGATAGCGAGATTATACCTTTAGAAGGCGATGCGCGCTTGATCTCGGCCATGAGTGACAGTCGGAAGGGCGATTGCCTGAGACGCTCGGGGAAGTTGATTTGAGGAGGCGCTAGGTTGAGATCGTACGCAGCCTGTAGATCACTGGGTCGTTGGGACGGAATCTCCTTCTGCTTAGCGACCGAGGCCCTGCGATGGTCGTAGATCTTCTCCAGTATGGATGTCTGCCTGTCCTTCTTTGCGCCGGCTGCTGTGCCATTGGAACCAGCTCCGACTGCTTGGGCATGTGCCTCTTTCTGTAGTCGCTCATTTTCGGCCCAGGTGCCTCCCTGCATCTTTAGGAAGTTCCTCACCATGAGCCGACCGTCCTCTGTCAAGATGCTCTCCGGGTGAAACTGTACACCCTCCATGACGTATTCCTTGTGTCGCACGCCCATAACGACTTCCTTGACTTCGGCTTCTTCGTTGGCGGGTATGGTCGCAGTTACCTCGAGGCAGTCTGGGAGAGTGCCGTGGGTGCCGGCGAGGGAGTGGTAGCGCGTAACGGGGACATTTTGCGAGACGCCTGCGAAGACGCCCTTGCCGTCGTGCTTGAGAGGCGATGTTTTGCCGTGCAGGACCTGGCCTGTGACGTCTACAGTACCGCCGTAGCTGTAGAAAATGCACTGTCTTGATCGTGTCAGCACTGCCCCGCCTGTTGCGCCCACCGGGAACTGGGAACTCACTCGCCCATGCACACGCCGAAAATCGGGATCTTGCCGCTGTAGTGCTTGATGGCCGCATTGCTAATGCCTGCATCCTTCTCGGGGTGTCCTGGACCTGGGCTGATTACCAGTTGTGTAGGGCTTTTCGCGATGAGATCTTCGAGCGTAATTTCGTCATTCCGGTATACGGTCACTTTCGCGCCTTCAAAGACGAGGTACTGGTACACATTCCAGGTGAACGAGTCGTAGTTGTCAATGAGTACAACGTTGGAAGCGGTCGGGATGGGCGGAGAGGGCGTGGGATTGCTGGGCGAGTGGTCGATTAGTTCGAGGGCAGGCATCTTGGGCGGTGTTCTGCGTCAGCGTTGCCGTCGCGTTGGAAGCCCGGTGGCTGTTATATAGCGTCGTCTGAGTACCCTCCGGCGGTCAGATGGCAGAAAGCGAGCCGGTCCTTTGACGGCGAGGTCGACGTTTAGAATATATTAGTGGCCGATTGCGGAGTGCGCGCCAGGAGATGTGAGTGCACCTTGGGACAGGAAGGTGGGAAAGGAATGGCTGTCTACTAGAGTAGTGGGGTGACTCAATGATGCTCTATTCAGATATTGAGGCTGCGGAGTTAACACGGAGGTGGCATGAATCGGTCCTTAGTGCTACGGTACCATATGTACCTTATATTTGGTACAGCAACGCCGCTGTTGCGCGAACTCTTGAATGTAGAAGATGTAACAGATTATGTAGATTCTGTATATACAAGAGAACGGGTCAATCTCTCGGTGCAGGCAGACTGCGGACAATTGCTGCATAGTTGCCAGAAGATAGTTGTAAATCAGACGAAACCCCATTGCGACGCGAACCAACATGCGCGAAAGTAGATGGCGATAACATTTCTATGCGCATCTGGTATCTGTCCAAGACATTGAAGCGTGTGTGTGCAAGGTGTCGGGGAGGAATCGCAAGAAAGAGCCCTTGTGATGATCCCTGCACGTACTAGCTCGACTTTCGCGTGAGCTTTGGCTTTCGCGACTTTCGTAGCCATTGACGCCAAACATTCGGCAACACGACCCCCGCGCCTCTCCAGCACCTTCATGGCCTTTGGGTAGCTGATTTCCTACTCGCGCACTGCAGCGCAACCATGGCCCCCATTCAATCCCCCGAGTTCGACCTGGGCAAGTGCCTCAAGGGCGAGCAGCAGCTTGTGTATGTTTACCTGCATCGAGCGCACCAACGTAGCTGACAGTAGCAGGACCT